TAGTCATACATAATATACTCTGCCCTAAAGGCATGCGACTTTACAAAAATTCAGTGCTTCAACAAAGCGAAATCTAGTTTTAAAACTTCTTCTTCACAATAGACTATTCAAGATCTGTCCATCGCAGGGAATCGAATCCCGGATTTTAGCGTTTTAAATTCGTAAACTTATCACTGACCTAGTGGGGGGGGGGGGCGTTCAATGTTTAAGAAACATTTCTTTTTCAATCTGTCGGCAGGTTGTAGAAATAGTGAAATTTGTTAGTATTAATTAACCTGGTTAAATAAATGTCCGAAATTTGAACTTACACCAAGTTGTCCAAAGCAAGCCTTCACTATCCCTGTTAAGAGATGTCTCGAGTTCCGAGGCCAAAGAGGCAGGGTTTAAGTACAGGGTATTCATGGTGTACTTCCATCGTTTGGCACTCGGCAGACAGGTACGACAGAGCTTTTTATTTTGTTCCTGAGCTTCTTGGAAAGCCGAGGAAAGTTTCGAGTGTCTTTCTCTTAGTTCGTCCCGTTCCTTTAAAAGAACTGCTTGGCTTTCCTTTGATGCATGCAAACTTTCCTGCAGATCTTCATTCTCAACAGTCTCCTAAAGTAAAAATCAAAGAAATAACACATCATGAGCAGTAGCGTCGTGACCATAGGCCATTGAGTGGGCACGTGCTCCCTCCAATGCTTTTATATAATCCCAAATCCACGTATAAATATTTGTCTGTAAGTTAATCCAAGTAATAGAGGAAACTTAATAATATTATAGATACAAAGCACACCACTTACCATTATTTATATGATTATTATCATTAACCAATCACTGATAACAAATATGACTTGTTTTTCTGACTGTTCTCCCCCCCCCCCCCGAAAACAACAACAACAACAAAAACAATTAGCTGCAGAGTTCGGATTAGTCCTAAATCCATACATTAAATTGACTACGTTCAATTATCTATAGTATACTGTAAAGTACTATTAACATTTATCCTGACTTAGAATAAAGAAAACTAGTCCTAGCTGTTGTGCAACTACAGACTTGCCTTGCTGTATCGAAATCATATTTATGGGATACCATTCCAAAATTAAATGCAACTTCTAAGTGTTTGAGGTCCGAAACGATCAGGAGTGTTTTGTTGTTGTTGTTACCAAGAGTGGTACATAAATTAAGTTCCTCCAATGAAGAAAGATATTTCCAATCAATTTTTGAGTCTTAATTTGGTTTTACTATTTACTTTAAACATTGTTTTTGTAGTAAGTTTTCCAAACATCTCACCGAACGAACTTGACGCTGAAGATCCACTACCTCAGACAAAAGTTGGATTACTTCTTCTTGCTGTTGGAAGCAGTCCTCTGACATCTTATCTAGTTCATCTTGGAGTGAAATAATTTGCTTTTTTGCCTTGGCTAAATTAAAAAAATAAAACATTTGATTCTTTCTTTCAAGACAGTGTGCTTGACATATGAATTATAGCTTGATACTTTTCCTGCCTTTTCGATTATTTTTCAAAAACGATGAAACACGAAATGTTGCCTACAAAATAAAAACTAACTAGAAAATACAAACTACAACAGATGTTACTGGTAAATAAACTTATTATGTTGAATATCTATAAAACAAATTTTTGTGGAAGCTCTTATAATGCTTGGTGGCCCTAACCAAGATGGCAGCTCTTATAATGCTTGGTGGCCCTAGCCAAGATGGCAGCTCTTATAATGATTGGTGACCCTAGCCAAGATGGCAGCTCTTATAATGATTGGTGACCCTAGCCAAGATGGCAGCTCTTATGATGCTTGGTGGCCCTAGCCAAGATTGCAGCCCTTATGATGCTTGGTGGACCTAGCCAAGATGGCAGCTCTTATGATGCTTGGTGGACCTAGCCAAGATGGCAGCTCTTATGATGCTTGGTGGACCTAGCCAAGATGGCAGCTCTTATGATGCTTGGTGGCCCTAGCCGAGATGTTGAACATTGATATCTAACATGCACAAATGCGTTTTACACATTAACTCTTATAAAGTGATGAGTACCTACCTGTCGGTTTTTCAGTACAAATGTCTAGATTGAACGCTATCTTATAAAATCAGTTGCGTCCAAAAAATAAATTAAAAAGGAGTTGATACCAAGAGCGGATATGAATGTGCTAGTACTAGCTGAGGGTACCCCTTAAGAAAACAAAAAAAAATACATAAATGACATTAAACCCCTAATGACCTTCTTAAGATGCTAAATGGATATCATACTTTATGGAAGGTCATAATTAACTTATTTAACTGATTAAGTACTAGTATCTTTAAATTCAAAGCCAAAAGTCTATTAAAAAAGTTAAAATATCATCTATTTCAACGTGTTTTTTGATCACCCTCTTCTCGGGCAAAAAATCCTGAAACAAACAGCCAATATTTTTAGCCGAGGCATAGCGGCTCATAGAATGGCTCTGAGGTTTTTTTCAAGTACAAACTTTTAGGTCATAGCTTCGTCATCTCTTGACTAATTTGAAATCTAATTATAGTTTTGGACTCAGGAGTCAAACCCTTTCGACTGATGTATTTTGCCACGCCCAAGGTCTCATAGACTAATTTACTCTAATTCTACCTAATACCATTTCAATTTGAGGGTAGGCTCATAGAGATCCTGATGAGTGATAAAATCGAATCGGGTATACGTGTGCCCCACGCTTGGTATTGCTGATGCACAAAAATATAGCTAATAAAAAGAAAAAGAAAAAGAAAAGGTTTCAGATATATTTACTCTAATTTTGCATAAAAGAATTTCAAGTGCATTGGCTATTGAGGATTCCATTTTGTTTCATCTTTATCAAAAGAATACTCTACTCTCCACCCCCCTCGTTACTCAATCCTCCCTTCTTGGATAAATACATAAATTCTGTAGTTAACACTTTCTGCCATCGTTCGATTTTGATGCAGAAGAGATCATACTTTCGGTTGTTACAAACCCATCAAAAGTGTAGAAAATAGTATTTCAAATATCTTAAGGAACGTGTGTACTTATTAATTGGTCTGACTTTACCTTATATACTCACAACCCCCCGTGAATAATAATGTAACCTAACCGATTTCTTTGACGAGGTCTTGCAGAATCTGCTGTTCCTTCTTTTCTTCGTCTTCAATATTTGCTTCCGGAAAACTAACCTGTAAACCAAAACCGTATTTCTTAATCCAAGCATGTTCGTGATTTAATAATATATGAAATACGCCTAGT